GTKKTTTTTTTTTTTTTTTTTTTYTYTTTCCCAAGGTACTGAAATACTTTATGTTGAAGACCCCTGGGCTTGCTGTAGGGCTGAGTGAAATCTAGGATAGACAGCAGATCAAACTGCAGATGTTGATACCCAAAGGTATCTCCAGACCAAGCCCAAACTCGTGTTATAGAGGCAACATCATTGTCTTGGCTCCCCAGTGCCCGGGGCAGTTACTTCATGGGAAGGGCCCGGCAGTTTCATCAGACCCTTTAGAGGACTCCTTAGCGGCAGGACTCTCTAGAGCCCTGAATCAGAAGTACTCTGAGAACCTGTAGCCAGCAGCAGTGCCTCACACTGGTTGTCTTAACCTCAGCTCCTCACCGGTTCCCAGATATTGAAAACTCCTCCTTGTTTCTGCTTTAAGCTGTTGCACATTACAGCATTTCATGGCTGAGTTGTTGTTATGCTTTGCCTAGAAAGTGGATGCTTTATTTTCACGGGTGAATTTGTTCATCTATCTTTTTCTATCTAGTTTGTTTATCGCTTGTGAGGAAATAGAAGAACTGCATGGAGGCTGCTCTGTGGGCCTTGTTAAACAGTAGCGTGTGACATCCTGCAGAGACTGTGATTTTTGCCGTCCTATTTTCTTTCTTGTATTGATGCATTTGTAGTAAAATTTAGATTCTGTGTTGCCTCTTTTTGGGGTTTCTAAAATGGAAGATGTAGACCCATGTATTGCTGGATTTATTTTCTTCAGAGATCTTTATCTTATCTTTACTTTTGCATACCCAAAGTTGATGGATTATCTATTCACATAGTATTGTTCATGTTCTCATTTGAAGTTCTTGCTGTTTTGCAGCTTTTTTTTTTAAAAAAATGAGGATTTAAGTCACCCATCTGTCTTTTTCCTTCTCAGAAATACACTGCCATTGGACGACTGGGCAAAGCTACTGATACTTTAGATGCTACAGGAAAAGTAACTGAAGAAAAACCTTATGGTAATTGCAAATTGATCTATATATCTGATCTAATTTGAAAGCAGTAAGTGGTGTCCATTGTAGAAAAGAGGAAATGTTTTAAAGTCTGTGAATTATATGTAAATGTAAAATCAAATGAAAATTATTTCATCTTCAGCTTCAGTGCTCATGTAATTGGGTCCAGCTTTTTGTAATTAGGTCCAGTGCGTATGTTCATTTCTATTGAGGAAAAACAAGACAGGCACTAGGTTAGGAGAGTGAAAATAGAATTGGGCAGAACTGTATCACTCTGTATCCTTGACAGGCTGACAAATGGCTTGCTGTGTCCACTAAAATTTTCCTCTTTCTGTGTACAGTCCCATGAGTGTTCTTTTAGTGACACCCTTCAAGATCGATGGAGGAATAAAGTACTGAAGTCTTCCCTCCAGGAAGTCCTTTTAACTAGAGATTTCTCTCCATAAAATGAAGCTGCCAGAAACTATTCCCTACAAATATTCACCTACCAGCTCTTGCTCTTGCATGCAGGTTGTGTTCCAGCAACTTTAATAAATTAACTTTTCTGACCCGCAGAGCACAGTGCAAGGGTTTAGCTCTGTAGAACTAATCCCGACTGTGGCTCTGTCAGAATGGAAATTCCACAACACGTTCAGAGCTGGGTTAAAGACACTCAAGGGTATCTTAGAAACAAGGCAGACTTAATTAGGGACACAACAAAAGTATTTGCCATTTGGTTCTATCACAAGCTGGGCAAAAAGATAGTATTAAGTAACTAGTTGCTTAGCAACTCCTCTTACATGTCCTGTACTGTTTGTGATACCTGGCAGCAGGTACCTACACTGTCTTTTTATAGCTTTTTTTATGATGGAAAGGGTAGCCTGGATTGCTGTATATTTTTCCCTCATGTCCTTTCTCTTGCACTTTCCCTGGTCATGAGGTAGGCAAGTACGAGTTTCTTTTCCACCTCAACTTGATGCATTGTTGTGAGTTGTTATTTACAGAGACCTTTGTTCAGTTGCTTCTATTTCAGGATCATGTTCCTAGTCTCTCACTTTTGAAGGACTGACCATCTGCGTGGTATCAGAGTTGTTAAGAGCCCATACTTGGTTGTCATTCTCTGGCTTTTGCATAGAGCCCCCAGAAAGTGTCGTGATGTTGCTCTGCAGCACTGAGACTTCATTTTAGAATACCTATATATAAATGCAATATCTTTTTAAGTAGCCATTAACAGAATAATTTTTAATGGGGGGAGGGAACATCCCAGACGTTCTTGAAACACCAGTCCTGTTTTTTCAGTTTTGTGTTGCTTACTGCAGAGAGAATTTACAGAGTACTTTTCAGTAGCCTTTCTTTCAGTGGCAGTGCTTCTAATAGTAATTACCACCTCTGCACCATCTCTTCTACTATGATGGCATGTCTTTTGGTGAGATCATATGGCAAGCAACCTGGAGAAGTGATTTAAAACTAACCACTTCTTTTGCAGTGAATCTTCTAAAGAGAGATCAGCTACATGATCTAGCTCATCATGCAGTCTCAAGAAGAGCAGCCCTGCTATTCCCGGGGCAGTGCAGTGGGTGTGGGACACAGTTTCCTTTTGCTGAAGGTGGCTAGTGAAAGAAGTGCTTGTGGAATTGGCATTTGTGGCTTTCTATATGGGTACAAATCAGTCAGATTGGATTTTTTCATAAAAAAATAAATGGAGAACACACCTTCTTTTTTGATTGCTCCCGTTCTTCCTCATTTTCTAACAGTGCGAGAGCAAGGAGTTGGCTAGATGGTCTCAAGAGGTCCCTTTCTACCTCAACCACTCTGTGATTTCCAGTGCTCTCCAAAACAGCTTGGGTTTCTGCATGATTCTCTTGGTGACCCTCCCATCACTAATACTAATTGGTACTCGGAAGTACTGCAATAAACAGAGCAGATGTTTGAGCTGAATTTCAGCTTCCTTTTGACAGACTAGAAGGATCCTTGGAGATGCTGAGCATCTGCTCAGGAATGCAGAATCCTGCAACGGCAGCAGAATGCAGGTATGGGCCTACGTGCAGGGGAAGGGCCCAAGGACAGCTTGCAAGGTATTTCAGTCTCCTCTTGAACACCCTCACTGGATCCAGAGAGAGAAAGCGGCTGCAGAAAGTTACGTGTTAGATAATCGATAAGACAGTGTTACATTTTAGTTCTCAGCATCTCTAGATAGCAGTTTAGAAAGCAAATTATTCTGAACATGTAAGTTACTTCTGATGAAAGGATGCGTTGAAGAGGGCTGCCTGTTGTTAACTCCTCCCCATCTTTTGATCGTTTTTTGTTTGGTTGTGTCTTGGCAGAGAAATATCTTACGTTTCCCCATTAAATTAGCTTGTGGTTTCACAGTGCTCCTGGGCTATTGGCGTGGATGATAGCTTTGGAAACAGCTATGGTTTAATGCTCCTCTTGGAGAATGCCATTTAAAATCTACAGCCCTTCTGTAACTGTGCAGAGGAACACGCATTCTGAAAACCATCTCTCCCAGCTGCTTGCAGGCTAAACCCAGGCATGGAGAAGAGAATCCATGGGCATTTTCTCCAGGCCTCTGCTGATTTTGCTGAGATAGGTGTTTAATAGAGCTACTTAAATAATTAAATGTGGTTATTTCAACATCCTGCTTGTCTGTCTGCAAGTAATTTATTCTGCAGCACACCCAGTTGAGGTCAGCTGCTGGAGTTCCACAAAACTGTCACGGGTGATTCTTGTAGCCTCATATTCGCTGCTGGAATAGTTTGATAATGGGACCATGTCAATTTTGATGGAGACTTCTTGAGGCTATGTCACAACTGACACCTTTTGGAAACTTTATTAACTTTCTTTAGGCTTGTAGCGGGTAAATAGAGCAACATTTATGCATGTTGAGATGAGAAACTATGCTGAATAACATGTGTTCCAAATAGTGTGTACACAGAGCAGGGTACAGTAATTTTTTTCTAAGATAGACCAGTCCAGCTGCTGTGTTTGAGAGGGAAAAAGCAGTTGGGGGTAGGGTCAGTTACCCCAGTGGGCCAAACCTGGACTGTCCTTTTCACTGGAATTATTGTGGAACAGGGTGCCAGTTTCATAAATGCCAAGGCAGAGGCATGTTTTCAGAATTCAATGCTAGCCAGCTTGAGATATGAGATAAATGCAATTTATTCTAGATCTTAAACTCATCTGTAAATATTTGCTATGATAACACATCACACAACCTTGTTTGTTGATGGCTTAATATATCATACTTCACATCCCTCCCACCCCCTTGAGCAGAGATTGCCCATAGCATGAATGATTACCTTAGAGGCTAGATGTATCTTTTTATGTTCACCTTTATATCAGGGGAATTGGGATCAGAGCAGAACTGAACTCAGGTGTCTCATTTAATGCCTTGATACAGATGCAGTGAAAACTGGAAGGCACCCCCAAATGCCCTGCATGCTTAGATCTCACACAGCGAGTTCTCCCCAAAGCCGTGAGACCTGCAGGAGGGTGACAGGCTCACAAACACAAAGCAGACTCGGGATAACTTTTTACTCTGTGATTTTTTTGTGGCACCTTGCTGAACCACAGTAATATGCACAGCAAGATTGCCAGAGAACTGTTCAAAAAGAAGCTCTTCAGAAGAAGCTTCAGACTTGCTGCATGAAAGATTTTGACATTTCTTCTTATTTTGATGTGCGCTGTTTTCTCTCGGCACCCCTGACTGATTTATGAGCCTTGTGAGCTTGCTGTTAATGACACTTCTTGAGATAGGTGCAAGGGAGAGACAGATGGGACCGGGGACAGCATCTGCCCTTGAGGTTGCAAATTGTGCTTTGTGACAGTGAGATACCACGTTGCTGCCTTTAAAAGTTACAGTGGAAAGAAACCTTTTGCTTTTTACTTGCTGCAAGAGGTACATTTACTCCTTGGGAGCTTCAAGTAGAGGACTACTCTAAGCAGAATAACATATCACAAAAGGTCAGTAAGTCAGTTTTATGTTGCAGGGTGCTGTTGACTTCAGTAGGGTAACACTAATAGAATATAATTTATGAGAACTGTAACTAGTCGAGACATAGCTAATCATTGAAGTTCGTCGTGATTACAGATCCCAGGCTTGTGCTCCCTAACAAATTGGGAATTAATGCCATTCTATTTCAAGGGACAAACACAATCATCTTCCTGAGTTATAGCCTTGTCCTAAAGGGGAACATGTTTATGTGTTCTCTAAAGAGAATAGATTGCGGGTCTTTCTCTTTAAAGGCTTTCTTCAGTAAAATGAAGAAAGATTCATATTTAATATGTAAGCATCTGCACATTAATATTTGGTAGCTAGGGAAATTTGATGTGTTTTTATAATTGTAGTCTTTGCCAGAGAGACAGAAAAAAGTGTTTTTGTTCTCTAATAACCTGTGTATCTTTCCCTTGCAGTTAGGTACTCTTAAAGAGAAGCTGCAAAGGTTAGATAAGCTTTTTATTCCTTTTCATCCTTTAAAAATTAGAATAGGACAATTTTTGTAGTTTTGTGTAATTTCTAGAAAAATGAATAGTAGTCTGAAGTGAGAGAAATTGCAAAATGTAATTGTGTACGTGGAGATTTGTGCCCTTTTGGAAATGTCCAAACTGTCTTAATCACCTTGGACAGTTTGTTCTACTCCTTTTGCAATAGCTTACACTCCTACTTACAGTCTGTTCTTTTTCCTCTTGTGGCATTCTTTGCTGAATCTAAATTCAAAGCAGAGAGGCCTTTGCTTTGTATCTGTTTGCAGAGCTTGATTGATGCCATTGGTGCCATGTGACTAATCAATGCTAACATGCTTATTGTTTTCTTCCTACAGATAAGGTAACAAAAGGAGATCTAGAAAGTGTGCTGCAAAAGTTCACAGGGGACATAATGCAAGTTCCTCCACTGTAAGTTCTACAGTATTCAGACACTCTCAGGAACAGTGTTTAGCTGTCAGGACTTGCCAGAAGTCAGTTCTGTCAGAAATGAAAAGGTATATTTTGACAGCAGGATAGATGCTAGGCAGACTTGGGAGCTTAACTTGACATGTTTGCAACTGCAGGTCACACTGATTTGAGCATTAAGTACAAATGGTCACCTAGAGTCTGCTTTGCTGGTAGATGGTAAAGCAAAGCAGGAGTCTTAAACAGCTTTTGCTGTGATTATGGAGTCTGTCCTCTAGTTAGAAGGGAAGGCTTGGAGTCTTCTGTTTTAGATGTGGGGTGGAGGGACACAGTCTGACATCAGTGTAGAAGTGCCTTTCAAATTAGTTTGCTGAAAATTGTGTGTTTAGGTTACTGATGAGGCTTTCCTAGCTTAACAAATTTCTTCTAGTCAGGTGAGCCATGGTAGGTGATGAAAGGCAGGTGACTTTTACGGTGATTTAAGCTAACATGCTTTCCTTTGCATTTGCAACGGGTCAGTTGCTGTGGTTTCACTGTGAGTGCTGTAAGGTCAGTTATTCCATAGGAGTTCTGTTTGACCTGCTTCATAGGCTGCTGGTAGCTTGAATATTTTTTTTTTAATGAACATCAAACATCTTTCTTTCAGAGCCTGAATTGGAGCTTTGGATGAGGTCTCCTGTTATCAGGAAGATATGCACTTTTTTCATTTGATAATTGTTCTTCGGAACACCCTAGAACAAGGTTACAGTTCACTCAGGGGAAGACCCTAAACCGAGTCACATAGTCATAAGGCAGAGGTAGAGGAAGGAAGTTGCCTGAGCAGCTTTCACCTCCCAGTGCTAACGTAGCACTGAGACAGGGTGTGAGGCAGTTTTTTTATGGCTGTTACGAATGTTCCCTTTGCTTCCATAAAGAACAAATCAAGTAAAGAAGCAGTTCTAAATAGATGTGGCAAGGAATAAAGACAGGATCATGTCTTGTTTTCCAGTTTACATAGCAGCAACTACATGAGTTTATTCTGCATTCAGAAGATTTCAGCAGCACTTGATACATTTTATTTTCCTCATGAGCTCTTGGAGAGGATTAGAAGAGCAAAAGATATCCTATTGTAGTACTGTGTTATATTGCAAATAAAGGACATGTTTTTGTGCTCTATCTGCTCAGCTATTCTGCTTTGAAGAAGGATGGAGAAAGGCTATCATCTCTGATGAAGAGAGGAGAAGCAGTTGAAGCAAAGCCTGCTCGGCCAGTAAAAGTGTACAGTCTCTCTCTCCAACACTTCCAGCCACCACTGTTCACACTGGGTAAAAGCCAAAATGAATTTCATAGAGTGATGCTCCCAGATTGTTTGTTAGAGCTTTATTTACACTCAGATTGGGACTAAGATAATGAAATGTTTTTTGGTTCTCTTAGCTACTTATTTTGGGGTGAGCTTACGTGCGGAGACTTCCACTCTGCAGTAAAAGCACTGTGTTTTGGTTTTAAGATAAGCTGATTATTTGTAATCTTTCTGTGAGGGGAAAATTCTGGTCGGGGGATTATTTGCATCTGTCCCTGATTGCACAACCTGCAGCTTGCCTCTCCTTGCCCAGGTCTGCTTACTTCACTCTTGCTTTTGCCTGGATTCCCAGCCCTACTGGTGTCTATCCCAGGGCACAGCAAGGGCCAGTTTGTTACTGTCAGGGCTCTTTTGGCAAGGCAGGATCTTATCCTCCCTTCTGCCATAGATGGATAAAGTTGAAAGCACATTAACAAATGAACCAAAAAGACTTTTATTGATGTTTGATGCTGCTGTGAGATCAACATCATCTTATGCCCTTGAGAGCTACCCAGTTAGCCCTTCCCTAGTCCTCTGGACTAAATGTTATATGAAGAGCAGGTATGAGTGACAGAGCTCAGTGCTCTGCTACTTCAGCACTTCATAGTTGGGTAACTAGCAGCTGATCATTGGCAGAGAAGGAAGAGGCAGGTTGAAAGAACCGGGGAAATGAAAAGTGAATTTTAAAATGTTTTCAGCTTTTATTAGGGCAGCTTGTATCACAACTGTACAACAATATCTTAAAAGCTTTGGTAGTTAGTTTAGGCTAATACTTGCAGTAACTTCACTGGTAGCAAGATGAAACAACTGTTTGAAATCTTCAAAATAAACAGGACTGTAGCAGTTATTCACATACCACAGCAAGTACGTAATTTCTGGTGAGTTCACTTGCCATTGTATTTGCTTTCCCTCCTCTCTAGCTTAGCAATCTCACCCACACATATGTTACAGGATGAATAATTGATGTTGTATCCTATAAATATTTTATCACCAGGTTGTTTGCTTAGCGCATTCTTACATTTGTTTGGGAACATGGTTTCTATGTAAAGTAGATTTCATACTGCCCTGGCAATTTACCATGTCGCTGTTAACATTCCAGATGTTGAATGTGGTGGTGGCTTTTATGTCAGGAGCCTGGTCAGTGATATTGGCAAAGGTAGGCATGTGAAAACTGTGACGGCTTAAGGAATGAAGGCATCTGTTAATGGAAAAATTGTGTCGCTTTCTCTATCTCCAGACACCAGACTTGTGTGTTATATGGCATTGTGGCACTGCTATCATTTTTTCACTTGTTTTTACGTATCAGGGTGTTTTGCTTTGTAATATGGGGGGAAAAAAGGGTTAAATAATTACCAGAGGGCAATTAAGAGTGAATAGAAATGGAACAGGTCTCTGATTAAGATAGTACAAATTAAGTCTTAAGTTTTTTTTCTCCCTCTCCATGTGTTAAAGTCAGATTAAGGGTGAGAGGAGGAGAAAGATACTGTCTTTTTAAACGTTGTTCATCACATTTTGAAAACAGATTGCACAGAGCATTATGATGTACATAATAAAACTGTCTGCTGGAGAGACTTGTCAATTTGTGATTTTTTCTTAGCTTTTTTTTCTCTCTCCTTTCCCTGAACTGTGAATAGTGTTGCTTTCCCACAGGGTTATTTGTCTTGTACTTTATATCTATCAAACTGCATAATGGAGAGCAGGTAGTCCATTCTTTTTTTTTTTTTTTTTTAATGATACATTTGCAGATCAAAAAAACAGGTGGTGAGGGAGAACCCTCTGAATTTCAATGCAGTTGTTTGTGCTTAGGCAAGTTGAAGATTCTGTTGCTGCTGTCTGATTGTACTGGCTTGTGTTTAGTCCTTTAATGACAAACCAAGATAAAATTTATTCTCAATTGACAAAATACATTTGAAATGCAGTGAGAGCTCCTACATTTTGAGAGGATGGGAGATAATATTTTAGTATTAAACTTTAGGCCTCTCTGCTTTCAATTTAGCTCCGGGTGTTGTTATCTTTTGTAACCCCTCATTATGTAGCTCTGTCCTACAGATATTTATTTAATCCAGTGAGATATGCGTTTGTATTTTGGATTTTTCCTAATCTCAATTTATATTATATTGATAGATGACACAGGATAAAAATACAAAAGTCCTTTTTTAAAGGCAAGTTATAAGCACTTATATGTGGAGGCCTCAAAGTCTGCAGAAAAATAGCCCATGGGCTTTTAAGTCATTTGTGAATAGTGTGCTCTGCTTTTATCTTATGTCATTATTTCCACATTTAAACCACTCTATGGTTTAAATCTGGAAAGCCTATTTACAACTTATAAAGTGAAGATCTATTGAAATCAAAGGAAGAATCCCTTGTCTCTGATTTAAAATGATGTAGATGAGTGAAGAATTTTCATTAACTTCTCACACAAAATAGAGTAATATAGAAGGCTACGTATAAAGCTACACATAAGGCATTGTAAATGAGTTCAAATAGATAAATTGACCATTCATCTTTTCCTGAATCTTCTCTTTTTTTTCCTACAGAACTCTCTACCTGTGCCAGTGTGCAAAAGCTGACCCGAACCAAGCAGGGGCCATTTACGCTAGAGGAGCATGCGCTTCATGAAGACAAATGGACAATTGATGAAATTGCACGATCCTTAGAGCATTGCATGTCTCTCCTCCCCGGAGAGCCATCTCATAAAAAATTTAAGACAGAGGATCCTGGAGAAACTGTTGTGAGCTGTGAAGATAAGTGATAAGTTGGGTCAAGGAGAAGGACCGAATGATTGAGACATTTTAAGATTGGATTGGGATTGTCTTGCCTCTCGTGTAAATTTACAGGCCTGTATTGGGAGGGAGACAAACTGCAAGGCAATAAAAATGTTTCTTTTCTCTAGTTTTATTTCCTGGGCTAGAATATGCACTGAAAATGCCTAGTGCTTGCTGCTTCCCAATCTGTTTATTTCCTTTGTTGTACACTGTAAATGGGTCAGCTACTAATATCACTTCTTCAAAGACCCTCTAGGATGCAATATACCTTTTGTTACTAATTTGTCAATAAAATTAAGATTTGCTAAATATGCTCAAAATTTCTTTTTTTATAGCTATAAAACCTGAAATACCGTAGTGACAAAACTCTCCTAGCACAAAAGATGTAATGTGGAGGGACGATTTGCTTTCCTGAAATCTGTTTTGGAAAAGACTTGTTTTGCTGTTGTCTTGACTATGCAAGTTTTTGTGAGGTTTTTTTTTTTTTTTGGAAGAAGATATCTAGAGTACATGAAATCTAGATTCTGAGGTTTTAGATAAATCTGAAATATTAGCATGAGTAAATAGTTTGTAACAGTCCCTGCTGATAATTGTTTGATAACAAGGACCTTAAAGAGTGTAGTTGTCATTACAAGTGTGCATAGCATATTTTGATAAGATGTCCTAATCAGTGAATTTTCATGATTTCAAGCATGGTCTTACTGCTATGCCCTTCATAGAGTATATGAACTTACTCTTCATAGCTCGTGTATTGCTTGAGCTGCCTGCTGTGCATTGGGTAGAAGGTCAGGGTTCTTGAGGACTTTGTGTGATTTGGTCCTGACTAAAAGTTGTGTGAGCAACGGAGACATCCACCATGAAGGATTCTTCCTTAAATGACTTAATTCAGTGAGTAAGGGAGGGCCTGTGCTGTAGTTCGTGGATTCAACTGAATTTGGTTGAGGATTATTTTACATAATAGATATTTGCAGTGATTAAAAGACTGTGTGGCTTGAGTGCACTAAAAATCACCCTATTTCCACCCTCCATGTGTGGAAGTGACTGTCCTGAAAGGACTTCTGTCTCTGACCAATTCAAGAGTTAGTAGTGGGTCAGCTTCCCCCTGCCATAGTGAGGAGTATGAGGAATATTTTGAGCATATAAGAGATACCAAAGAGAAAGTTTTGCTTTGGAAATTGTGATGGAAGCAGGGCTGAGGGAGCGGCATGGCGGCCTTGTGGCGCCTTGCGGCCCTGTGGCGCCTCCAGACTGTCACTTCCTGGTCCTGGAGCAAAGAGAGTTCCCTGCTTAGGGCAGCCGAGAGCTCCAGAGCCTCGGCCTTGCGGTTATATCAGGGTGGATCTTTTACAGAGGGCCATGAAAATTTGATTTAATGACTCCGTGTTAATGGACTTTCCTTGGTAAGTTATCTCGATAGCTAATTAGCTCCGGTGTTTAAAAAGAAGCTGTGCTTTATTCCCAACATCAATCTGCATGCACTGTGGTTTAGGTCTGTCTTTGGAAGATTCAAGGCCTTAGAAAAGCAGATTTGGGTTTGTGCTGATCTTGTGTGAAAGGATGATTTCAAGCTTAGAAACGAAAACAAATACCTCCAAGTTTCTCACTGCAGGAAGCCCTTCCAAACTTTCTTCTTTTATAGATGGCAAGTAAGGACTAGAAAGCTGAAGTCTATGTAAGATTAACAAAGGTTTTGTTTTGAGGAAGGATAGAATTCATATTTACTTCTCCAGTAAGAATCTATCATCTTTTTCATATATAAAGAATGTAAAAGAAATGTTTAAAATCCCAGCTAGGTGATGTGTTAGAGCACTGTAGCAGCAGCATAGTTACGTGGAATGTAGATGAAGTAGCTATTATAGGCATTTTTGATCTAGGAGGTAGATATGTTTAGTAAAAGAACTGTGGGGGATTTTAGTTTATTGTGAGAGTGGGAGGAGTTGATACTTAAGGAAAAGAGAAGATCATTTTCTAAAGAAACCAAATAAAACTGAAATTTCCATTTTCCAATATTTCCATCTTGAGTGACCAAAGACTGACTGAAACACAGCTTTTCTAGTGGTCCAAATCAGGCACACATCTCCCAGATTTTCCAGGAATGTTGTTGATGTTATCCCAGTGGTCTAGAATAATGTGCCTTTTTTTTTGTGCATTTATCCTGTTGGATATTTTTCAACTCTTTTAGAAATGCCCCACAAGATATAATTCCCTTCATCTTTGTTATACCTACAGGGATTTGATACTTGAAAAAATACTGCAATTGAGAAATATTTCTATTAATAGGGTACGTTTGTATAGAGTAAACTATCACTGTCTAGCACTTTTTCTGTCTTTATTCAGTGCTCACTGTAGCTTTCTTGCTATTCCCCATAAGACTGTCTGATATTTTTAATTTTAAGATGAAAATGATATTTCTGTCAGCTATTCAGTTAGCTTGCTATGGCTCTGCTGTAATTATTGCTAACAGATCTGTGATTCTGGGAAGAGAGAATTGGTTGCCTTGTGCAAACACTGAAGAGAAAAGAAATGGAAATCAAAGGAAACATCCTGGTGACTACAGCAAGCTTTAGTTGAGGCTGCGAGTCCCAATACATGCAGAAAGCAGCATGAGAACAGGAATGTAGCTGCCCATTTTCAAGACTCTGCATGTTTTGTGTAGCCCATCTTTCCAAAGACTGCTATCTTTCTGTCTGTGGTTACAAATTCCCATGGTGTCTGTATTTCTGTACAGCAAATGGAGACACCGTCTCTAGCTAGACTTCTTGTCTGGGATTTATCTCCTCTTTCTCAGCCATAGTTTCTGTCCCCTTTAGAAATACAGGCAGAAGTTAAATTCATGAGCAGCTTCTGTCCAGGTAAATTGTACTGAAGCTGCTTCTCCTACAAATCCTGTTGAAAGTAAGTTTGGCTGTAGTTGTAAATGGCTGCATGGCATGCAAAACTGTGGCAGGCAGCAGATAATAGTCCTTAGAAGACACAGTGCAAAATATGCATTTGAGACAGCTGTGTTGATGGTAAAGCCATGAACAAATTGTGCAGCAACATCTTGTTAGTGTCACCACCTGACTAGTAGCAGCCTACCCTCAGTCTGGCCCTAAGCAGTTAGGATTGGAGCTCTCTCTCCAAAAAGGTTTCTCCTTAATGCTGTGCTTTAATGGGTCTCTTTGAGCCAAGGAGTCCCAGTCAACAGGGATCAGGGGAAGTGGCTTAAAAACCTGGAAAGTCTCTTTTAGGTATTTTTTAATGAGTGTGTAATTGCGTCTTGCTGCATTGCAAGACGGGAAGTGTTGTGTTTCCATGGGAACTAAGGGACATACTCTAGTTGTAACTCCTGTGTTCTTATTAACTTGCGTATCCCCGTGGTACAACACAATTCTGAAAGTCTTGTATCTGTAGAAAAATTAGTATTTTTTCCAGAAATAAATGCCTTATGATCCTGGATTACAGTCATCCCTAGATTAAGGGCAATTAATGGTGAGGGAAAAAAGTATGTATACAATGCTTTTGATATTAGTAGTAGAGCTAGCACAGTGTCCAGCTGAGCTAGGTTTGGGGACAAAGCATGTAGGAATTTCATGAAGCTCCAGCCTGAAAATATGTCTCTGATTTATCATTTAAAATGTGCTGTGTCGGATGTGAAGATCTTTTAATGAGCATTGTTCTTGGGTAAAGTCCTGATGAAAAAGCTTGTCCAGCTTTTTGAGCTGAATGTTGATGGTCTTGAATTTGCTCTTGTGATCTTTGGACCATAGCAGTCCATACAGCCATGGCTGTGTGTAACCCTGGCTGTGTCCTCACCACTGCTGCTGCTTCAGTAAGACTGACAAAGGCTTCATAAATTATCTCCTCCCGCTGTCTCTGCCTTGCTGGGTCTCTTTCTTCTTTATTTAAGTTTTTTTTTTTTTCATGTACTTCATAACTTAGTTCAGCTGCCTGCACTTTGAGGGACTTTTAAAACGTTTTTTAAGCACAATCAATAGTTTGGGTTTTCTTCATATTAATCAAGCCTATGCCATTTAGTATTCTAGGAGTATGTTCATCAATAACTGAGAATTTAGCATCTTACCCTGCAGTTATATATATGATTTATATGCTTATTAGGAAAATATAAAGTTGAACTCTGAGTAACTCCTGAAATTTTGGGATATTTTATTTTTTATTTTTATTTTAGTGTAATGGATGAAAGTCACTGTTATGAGCATGAATGAATCTAAGACTTAAATGACTGTGGTCATTCTGTTTGTGTAGCGTAATTGAGGAATTGATTGGCAAAAGTATTCATTTCATTAAAAACACCAGAGGAGACAGCGCGTGTGTGTGTGTGAACTTGGATATATGGCCAGAGGGAAGTCGTACAGACAGTGAATGGATTCAGCCAGCCTGAGCAGAATTACTGGCCCCATTAAAAAGCAGTCATTGTTTCTAATTGCTCAGTGTTAAATTGTTGAGGTTTTTTTGTGTATGCATGTGACATCTCGATTAATTAAATCATCAGTAATTTAGTGTATCTCAGATGAGCAGGGTGCATGGTTATCGCCTGACTCTTTTATCTCCACTCAGAATGATGAGACAGACCATCCTATGTCTCTGAGATCAGCTACAGAAACCAGGTAGGTACAAAGAGACAAAGCCAGAAGATAGGGACTGGAAGTGGATGACCAAGTATTTAATTGGTATTAAAGAAGTATTTAATGACAACAAGGAACTAATTTGCAAGAAAAACTTTTTTTCCCCCCAATTTTGTCTTGGAGGAAGTATTGAAGATACCTATATGGTTTGGAGGAACTTTTGATATATTTGCCTGGAGAAAACTCTTTTATGGATGTGAGCATTTTGGAGTTTGTTCCTCCTCACCTATGGATCAAAGAAGATTGAAGCGAAAGCAGCAGCTTCTTTCTGGCTTTTCCACATCCCACTGCCATGAGTGTTGTGGAATGAAAATTTTCAAGGATGTTGTGCTCAAAGGCTGGGGGCCTGTGGCTTGTACCAGGAGGTAACAGTAGCTGAGAGTAAGTAGGAGAATGAATTTGTTGTGTAAACACTAATGTCTTAACAAGCTACAAAACGGCTGCCACCTCACCATGATTATTCATCCTGGATTGCAATCTGTTCGTGGCCTTTCTATTTTCCACTATCTTAGCCCTGAAACTTTCATTCTCTGCTTTGAATTCCTTTCCAGGTGCATGCAAACCTTAAAGAACATAGCAAAATTTTGTGTAGTTCAGGTGGAAAAAGAAAGTTGGTAGAGCTGAAGGTAGAACTGAAAAGAATGAGATGCATTTAGCACATCCCTTATCCTTTTC